CCGAACTATTTGGTATATAAATTTACCCAATAAAATTTAAACTGTATATAAACTTATCACATGACGATCATATTTAAAATAATAAATGCGTAACATATTACAATAGTTTTATTTAAACGTTATTATCGTATTGAAAGTAATGAAGATTGACCTACAGCTAATAATTTTACTTTTTTATCTAATTTCCTTAAAACCCTTAACTCTTCATTTACATTCCCAAATTCCGGTCCCGGTTCATATAAAAATTCATAGGTTTATCTATAGCACTTTCTGCTTCTGTTGGAGTTAACTTTTCTCATCTGCTATACCTTTTTCCTTATTTGCATTTCGTAAAGTGTCAACTATTTCAAATCAGTAAACCCCCCCGGAATCTCATCCTCCATATGAAATGTTTTTAAAAGATTATATTAATATATTAATATAATTTATATACCTATCATCAGAAAATTCTGAATCATCATCAGGTATTTCTCTAGCTTCAGGAAGGATACCCGTTTTCTTCCAACAGTTTGAGATTGTTTGAGAAAATACTGTTGACCATACTTCAGCCACATTTTGTAAAGCATCATAAATAATATAACCTGCAAGTTCTTCTGCAATACCATCTTGCATATCATTATATGCATTAATCCTATTCAGAATGAAAAGGTGTTTGTAATGGTATTTAAAATAATGAATTATTTTTACATCACAAAACTGAAATTTAGTGATAGTATTTGGTAAAGGAATTTCATCTCTATATTATCCAACTTTTCTTTAGTTTCATCTAAAATAAGGTATACTGATGCATTATCAATTAAATTTTTTTGTCTTATTATTTCATTAAGTTTAAGAAGGATTTCATTAAAGATATTAACTTGCATCCATGTCTTTTTATTCTAAAAATAATAGACTGAAAGATTTTTGTAATTAATGTTTTCATAATATAAGGAGTTTTGTACAGACCCCGCCAAAAGTCTCTGAACATCATCTTTTGGCTATTTCATACTGAGTACATCATAGGACTGTATAATACTATGATCATGTAATATACCTGACCTTGTTTGATTGAATCAAAACTAAATAAAAGCGTGTTTGGTTTGTTTATTTTGATTTTTAACCAAAATAAAATTTTACCTTCTGAAAATCACGAAAAAGTTCAAAGAACAACGCGGCGATATAAATTTTACCGTCAACGTGGCGATAGTTACCAGCTTATTGTCGCAAATATCGGTTGTGGATTTTTAACAGCATTTAGAACTTTAAAAAGAATGGATAACACTGGAACCGTTATTTGAGGCTTCGTTCTGATCAACTATCCTTAATTAAAGATTCGCAGCGAAGCTGGCTGAAGTGATTTGTCGCAGCAAATTTGAGCTGTTATGAAGCAAATAAAGGCCTGACCAAGTAACTAATTATTTAGTAACAAATGTGTAGTATATCGTAAATTAATAAATAAATTAATAAATTTTTTTAATAAACTTTAAAATTTTAAGTTTTACATTGAGCCAAAAGCGTTCGGAGACTTTTGGCGGGGGTCTGTATATTAAACTATATGTAATCTTTGTTGGATTATATGTTATTCTTCTACCAAATTAATAAATAATAAATTATCTATTAAAATTTATAATTTAATAATAGATTATTGAATATTTATATTTTTCAAATTAATAATTATAAATATTTTTAATAAGTAATATTTAATATTTTATTATAAGTTATATATACTATATGTTTAAAATACTTTTTTTTAATTAATAATTAAAAATAAATATATAAATTTATTTATAAAGTTAAAATATAAAAGATTAAAAATATTTAAGAGTTTTACTTAAAAATACAACTATTTCAATAAATTATTATCTTAAAAATTATAAATTATAATTTTTTAAACAAAATTTTTTTTTTTAAAATTCATATTAAAAAATCCTAAAAAAAATTAAAAATAGATACAATAAAATCATATAAAGTTTTAATAAATAAAGAATTAAATATATACTGTAGGTGTTTTATAGTAAAAAAGGAAAAAACTATTAAAAAAATTTTTTTTTACTTTATAAGTTAAGTATTATTTTTTTTTAGTAAAATAAATACAGATTTAATATTAACTTAAAAAAAATTTTTTTTTTGGTAGTTTTCTCCCTTTCTATTGCAAAATACCTACATCTTAATTTATAATATTATATTTTTTAATAAATTTAAAAGATTATTAAAAAGGATTTTTTTATAAATTTACTTTTTAAAAATATTTGTATGATATAATATTTATAATTTATTAATTAAATAATTTAAAGATATAAAAAAGTATTATTAAAAAAATTTAATAAAAAAATTGATTAAAAAAAAATTGATTTACTGTATATTCCCGAAAATAAGCATCCTGTGACATGTTCCTTTTATAGTAATTTATTTATTTGTCACGTGAAATTTATTATATTATTTGTCACGTATATATTAATAAATTCATATATATCACGCGGTGCTTATTTTCGGAGGAATATGATATTTTTAAAATGTATTTTATTAGATATTAAAAGCAAAGCTTGTATTTAATGCAAATATTTATATAATCTTGGTATTTTTCTTGATATTTTAACAAATAAATCGGGTAATTTATTTTATTTTAATCCATAATTTTAAAAGAATATTATATTATGATAAAGTAATTGGTAAAAATAATTGGTAATGTCATATGATATATCTAGAAGAACATTTAGTACTTTTTAATCAATATTTGATGCTAATACTAATTTCAAGTTATAGTTTATCAGCTGAAGGGTGTAACTATTTTAAAAAAACTTAAGACAAAAAAAAAAAAGAAAATTCTTAATTTAGTTATCAAGATTAACTGAAACTACAAAACTGACGCTTATAATAATAATAACAAAGTACAAGTAGTATGTTATTATATTTGATTATTTTTATCTTGAAATTTTACATAATGACTTTAATTTACATTATATAGTTATCTAATGGATTTAATAATGCTTCACAATTAATTAATAAGATTATTCCAATTCCAATATAAATAAGAATAACAGTAAAGATAAAATCAATTATTATTAATTAAAAATTGTATTATATATATTTAATATATCTAATAAATATTGTATAATAAAAAATTGCCTGATACATGATTTACTATAGTCAATGTAAATTATAAGAAAATTACGGGATACGTTGATTTTGAGAGAAGGACTTCTCACTTTCGATGAATTGGATCATGTTCATTTATTCGATGGTAGGGTAATAAAACTAAAGCTGAAGTTAAAAAGTTTCTGATCGGGTGTAGGTGGACACGTATTGGTTCAAACATTAACGTTGAAACTGTAACAATAAAACCGAAATCACCATGATTCAGGGAATCGAGAATCAGAATAAAATATTTCATGCGTATAAATCGAATTGTTGGCCCAGCTATGTTTGCAGTAATCCATCGAACTGATAATGTACTAATTGACATTAATACAATAAGAAAATCTGTAAAACTTTCATTGTATTGTCCAATTCCACGCATTGAGGTTACTCCACGTTCCATTTTATCAAGAACCTTTTGGTGCAAAAAGAATATAAAAAATAAATACTTATTTAAAGCTTATATTTATAAAAAAAGGAAAAATAATTGAATCGTTCGAAGATGGGTTGTAAGAATACAATTCTCCAAGAAGTATTTCTATGAATACTTGAATATTAACAGCATTCACGAATCTATCACCACTAGACCATCACTACTGCAACTCTTCTGCTATCACTATTAATTTATCTCTAATTTTTCAAAAAAACAATCTTGCAATAATAGTATGGGATTCGTGAGTAAATGAGATCAAAAATGTAAAGAAAATGGGCAAGTCTCATTATATTAATTATTGGAATCAATAAATAAATGCGACCGTTCTTTTGTATTCAATCGCAGATTTTATTAGGAGGAGGGTGCATTGAAGTTCGTGTTCGAACATAGTGTTGAATATCTTGAAAAAAACATTTTGATGGGATGAAAAGATTCGTGGAGACTTAAGTCCTTCAAGTAATTATCGTCTTTCAGCATATCAATTAAATTATTGCTAAAAAAAACCATGTTCTCTCTCTTTGAATTGTCACAGTTAAAAAGAGGAAACCTAATAATAAAAGACAATAATTAATGAAAAAGAATGCGCAAAGCATGTCAAAATTTCTTATAAATATTCCCATTTGATGATTAATAAATCACGTAATTTGACGGCACTTTATTTCAGATACCTTCTTTGTAATTATCCCCACCGCATATATCAAGTTCTCCTACGAGTAAGTCTCATTGAAATAAATATATATTATAATATACTTTTATGAATTACGCAAAAATTTCGTTAAAGGATAATACCTACTTCTTCATTCAAAGTTTCAATGTGCGCATTGATGTTTAATAAACATAAAGAAAAAATTTTTTTTTCAACACTTCATTGTGATAAATTCTTCTATTCTCCTACAGTTTCAGAAACGGAAATATAGAAATAGCACCAATACAGCAAAGTAAATCTGTACGGGAATATTTTTTTCAAAAAGAAGATTGCTTATTTTTTTTTTTTATCTTGAAAAAATTTACATTTTTTTTCCTTGAAGAGGAATTGTACATATATACAATATCCTCAACATCATCATTGAAATTAATTCTCGAGAGAAAATATTTAAATTATAAAAAAAGTCGTGTAACAATGATGGCACAATTTATATTTTTTTATAAAAAAGGGGAAAAATATAAATAACTTTCATAAATAGGTACCACTATAGGGGGATAATTATATTCTAAAACGCGCTAGGTAAATGGTTGTTTACCAAAATTATCAAACAAAATAAAAGCTTTTTGGGAACGATCATCACTTTACGAATTTATGAAAAATATAACATTTTTTTTTTTCGATAGAAAACCTTTTATAGATAGATATTATATGGATTGACAATATTTTTTTTCTTTTATTTTTTTCTTTTGATCTTTTCAAAAACATTTATGAATCCTTTTAACTAGAAATAAAGTTCCATTTAAAATGATGAAATCAATATTAATATTCTTGATTCTTTTATTCTCCTACATAAATTTAATTCTTGCTCAAACCACGTTAACGGTATTAAGCAATTTTAATTTGACAACGACGTGTGAAACATTCATAACATCTCTAATTAACGACGAGGACATCAATGAATGTTTACCAATATACACGATCATAATAAGTGTTCCGCCACTTCTACCTACATATCCTACAAAAAATTCAAAAGATAAGCTTGATATCTTTGCGCAATTAGTAAGTCAAACGTGTCAATTGCCAAAATGCCACCCTTCCTTGACTCAAAATACCGCATTAAAATTACAAGAAGATTGTTCCCAAGATTTAATGCAACAAAATATAATGGTTACATTGAATTGGATATTATTTTCTCATTATAAACCTATACAAGAACTGATTTGTAAAAGGAATAGTTCAAGTCAATTCAATTCTTATTGTATTTTAGAAACGTTAACAAATATTGCAAATCAAGAAAATTCGATTGATTCGACCGTATCATTTGAAGTGAATGAAAACCATAATCACACATTAGATATAAGACATAAAAAAAAATTACATAAACATAAGAATAAAAATATTTGTACTCGTACATTATTAAAAGAAATACCTAAACCCACAACAACTATTACTTCAACCCTTTCACCTCCAACAATTACAACAAGTACAAAAGAAAAAAGCGCAGATAATGATGATGATAAGGAGGGAAGTTCGCCTCCAACGACACCGGAGGACGATTCCTCATTTTTTAAAACCTTGGAGGCATTACCCGATTCATTAATTTGTACCGATTGTAATAAGGTATGAAACCAGGAACATTTGATTTATTATTAAGCCTCCCTTTCTAATCATTTCTCTCTTATTATCTTAGGCCATGATGTCAGTTGCAATAAATTATCTCAAAGAAAATCCGACGGTATTAACGGTGATAAATGTGAATGAAACTCAAATACAACGAGCTTCTCTAATTCTTGAATTAAAATGTGGCAATTCGTTCTTGGATGGTACGACTCCCAACTTAATTTCTGATTCTTCTAAATTATCACACTCGTATTTTTATAACTTCATTGTAGCAATCGTAATGTTACTATTTTTATAATATATGTTTATTATTGTATAATATTGGATCCAATTAGAACAGAATAATTAGTTATCATAAATGTTTATTGAAATTTCTTGAAATCCAATAAAATGTTTTGGTAGTAACCTTTATTAGAAATTTTCCCGGTCTTGCCTGATTGGTTATAATAAATATTTTGAATTATAACTGCTGACGCAGCATGGCTGAACACGTCTCTATCGTTAAGAAAAACAAATTTGGTTCTCCACATGGGCTTTATGCAAATTTTTTATTCTCCACAAAGCTCGCGTGGGTCACTTATCATGAAAGGTAAAAAAAAAAAAAAAAATGAAAATTTTCTTTCTAGAAATTATGTAACATTTAAAGTATAAATAAAGTAACCAAATAAAGAATGTTATTTATTATTTTATTTATAAGGGGATCGCAGTAGAAGATCCGAAAAAAATATTTTCTTTGAGACATCTAAAAAAGTAAATAAAATTTTTTTTGTCGTTGCTTATTCAACAATTTGTTTGTTCAAATATCATATCATTTATGCATGATTATCTAATACGAACCCTCCGAGTTCTCCGTCTATCTTAATTGAATCAACTCTGTATTACTTGTATTACTTGGATACATTTAATGCGATGTAAAAAGATTGTCTTAAGTACAAATTTAAGGTTTATTTACAAATGGACGGATTGTCGCTGAAGTAATCGCATTTCAAAAACACGAGAATGGAGTCAATTGACGAATTTCTTACTGTAAAAGCCAGTTTTTTAAATTTTCCTTTGTCATTGATTTCATTTTCAACCAGCTTATCATGCAAATAGATGCGCGTCTTGCTGAATCTATAGAAATGAACGTATATATTTGTAGAGGAGATAAAAAAAATTCTCTGACATCTAAGGAGAATCAATGTCTATTAATGTACGCCCTTATCTTGATATTTTTAACCAATATATTTACTTTGGAATTTACTGTAAACTAAACAATGAAAAAAACGGACCGTATCTGTTTGTAATACATTACTTACATCTATAGACACGTATTATCAATTTATCTAATTTTTTTTTTTTTTTAATATATACATGTATATTTTCATGTTTATTGTTCTGATAAAAAAAGAAAAATTTAAGTTTAATATTGTTTTGATCAATAAAAATACGTACTCCTTGCATTACCGTGGATTCCAGTCTTCTGTTTGTTTCTTTTACATATCTCCGTATTTCCATTTCATAACATCCGTATATGTGTTCATGATAAATTTTTTTTATATAAAAGATAAAACCCTTTTTTCCTGTGGGTTTATTGAAAAAAAATGACTGTTGCACTAAAAAAAGTAACCATTAACAAGCATGAAATCACGTGGCCGAAATCCCCAGCTATCATTGAGGAGAAGGGTTTCTTAGGAAAAACATACAAAGTACAATATAAGGGAATTGATGCCGTAATTAAATCAAGCAAGGTGAAGGAAATTTATGTGATTCAGTTTAGCTCATCTTTTTTTTTTTTTTTTTTTCTAAAACCTTTCTCTCTTTCTAATTTAGGATGATTTGGATGCGATCTTGGAAGAATTTCATGTTCATTATAAACTTCGAGAACATGAAAATATATTAAAATTCTATGGTATAATTATAAAGGCAGATAGGATAGCTTTGATTTATGAATATGCGGCTCATGGAAAATTATCATCATTTCTTAAAGATAATTCCTTATTAGGATGGGACATCAAATCAAAAATATGTCATGACATAACATTAGCATTATTTCATTGTCATGAATTTAATATAAGCAATTTTAATTTGAAGTTGGACAATATTTATTTGACTAGTGATTGGACGGCTAAAATAGCCGGCTTTAACAAAGATCATGATAAAAGAAAAAGTCGAGAGAGTTTGAATTCTCCCTCACCTGATAGCTCGATGCATTGGGTTGCTCCTGAAGCTGTCTCTCTTGATCAAGACATGAGATTATCCTTTGAAAGGTAGGTGCGGTACTGCGGACGCATGAAGATCTCTAATGTCACGCGCTAATCACATCATCGCATTCTTTGTCATGTAGGCATCCGAAATTAGCCGACATTTATTGTTTGGGTCTAATATTTTGGGCAAGTGCGTGGAGTTTAATCTTTATAATCTAGATGCATTTATCATGGGATTAAATTTTTTTTCTTTTTAGTTGCAATGAATGGACAAATCCCTTATGAAGAAAAATCGAACATAATAGAAGAGAAGCAACAACGTAATGCAAATGAACTTTTACGAAATCATTTACCAAAATCGATTCCATCGGAATTCTCGAATTTAATTTTTAAGATGACAAAATTCACCCCAAGGCAAAGGCCTAACTTACTTATGATACTTTGTGCCTTGGAAGGATTATACGATTTTGATAACTCGCAAGAATACTTATCAGAAGCAAGTTCAAAAGGTTTTGATATCGAAAGTGATGTATCCGAGAATTTGATCTCAAATCAAATTGAAAACGTCAGTCAAGCGAGTCAATTTTATGCCGGTTCGATTAAAGTCAAGAAATCTACAAGTTACAATTCGATGAATTCATTAATGAATAATAGTGATAGCAACATCATAATCCATCAAGAATATCAATTTTCGGAAACCGAAATAGATTTATTAGAAAAGGTTACCTCAATATATTTGGAAGCGGAAAAGTTGGGATTCGATTGGCTCATAAAAAATCTTAAAAGTTGGATTGCAATCGAGAAAATGAATCCAAGAACAATTTTTGATTTGATGAATTTAGATTTAAATCAACAATATAATAGATGTATCATAGGATATTTTTATGAGGAAGGTTTTGGTACCTTACGAGATACAAAACAAGCTTACAAGTATTATAAGAAAGCGGCGGAAGAAGGTGATCATTATGCTCAAAATCATTTGGCTTTATGTTATCAAGATGGTATTGGTGTAGAAAGAGATAGTCTTAAAGCATTTGATTGGTTTTCCGAATCTGCTTCCGGTGGCAACGTTTCTGCTCAAAATAATCTTGCCATGTGCTATGATTATGGCAAAGGTACCGGTCCAAATCGTGTCAAGGCCTTTACTTTATATAAATCTGCTGCTGAAGGAGGCAACGTCATGGCTCAATATTATCTTTCATTATGTTACGAGGGTGGTTATGGTACTAGCATAGATAAAAAAACGGCTTGGAAATGGTTAGAAATTGCAGCTAAAAATGGTAATTTGGCTGCCAATGAAACTTTAAAGGCAAGAAGAAAAAAAAATCAAAACTGGTTTACTAAAGGAAATTTATTTTCCAAGAGAAATGTAAGTTTACTTTTTTCTTTTAAAAAAAAAAAAAAATAAATAAATAAAAGTTGTACAAAAGTTGTATTTTATTAACTTTATTTTTATTTTTTAGTCAAAAAGATAAGGATTACTTGCGACATGGCAAATCAACCGGGGTTGATTTGCTCGGTTATTTTGGCGAATAAAACTAATTTCACCTTTGTACCTACTTGACGATTTCCGAAACTATTTCGCGTTTCACACTCGTTTCGAACTGGTTTCACTTTGATCCGAAACCCTCCGAATTACTTCAAACTCATTTCATCATGCATATTATAATCATTTAATCATAGATAACTAATTTTCTCCCAGGTGGGGAAAATTATGATGTAATAACTATTCCTCTTGTATATATACAGTATATGAAATTTTAATCAATTATAAAAAAGAAAACCCACGCATTTTCATCACGTCTTATCAGAAACAAATTATTTTGAAATTTAACCTTATTATGAAAGTTATTTAAATGAAACATTGAAGTATTAATTACGCGTATTATGCAAATGAAAATTCATGTACCAGTTAAATTTTGCAGTATGATTCGAACGTGATCAGTAATAACTAATTAAGTAAAATTACCCATCTTAATATAATGCTTTTCTTTGTACGAATTTAAAAAATCTATCTTATTTTAGGTAGGGGTTGAGACTTTTTTATTGTCTCAAATCGGCTTTGATAAATTTCTTAAATTCTTTAAACTTAATAAATAGTGTGATGATTCGTAAAGAAAAAATAGGGTTCCTCGCTCAGAAAACCTCGCATTTGAGATAGAAAAAGTGTTATCATGAATTTTGTTTAAGAATTTAAAGGTTTGACGGTATAAAAAAAATAATTACTCAAAGTGCAGATGACACGAAATAAGGTTATTATCTAAGGGTTGTTAGTCCGATCTAAAAACGAAAGAATCATATCTAAGATACGTTTTAATTAGGAACTTTTCCCAAACAAATTATGAATGATTTTATCCTTGAGTGTCATACTAGAACAGTAAGTCGCGTATTGTATACAGGGTCAATTGCCGTTTAAAATACATACGTAGTTCTCTACCGGTGGATTGATTCAGAGAACACGAAGAAATGTACCGCAGCGGCTGTTATGATATGAGTAGTGAAGAGGAGCTGATGAGAATATCAATAGACGACAACAGCGAAGAGTTTTAAGGGTTAGTCTTGTTAAAGGAACCTTAGCTAACTTGGGATTCGAATCTCAATCGAGAGGAAGCAATTGCATTTGTTAGAACACGGGTCAGATCTATTTTCCGGAAGGTCCATGCTCTCATTCATGGATCACAAATAAAAGATAATTAAGAAGTTGCGACTATCTAAAAATGTCATTTTAATATGGTCTTAATTAAAGGTTGCAAATAATAAACGATTATTATTCGTCGGAAAACTATTACTCGTCAATAGGAAAATTTAAAGAATAATTCGTTCAACGAACTTTTTTTATTTGTGAAACCAGAGAACATATTTACAGGAATTAGTTTAACGGTGCTTAAACCCCAAAAGCTAATGTATCACGTTATTTATGTTAACAAATGTTTTTGGGGAGATAAAAACAATGAATTTTATTAATTAGAACTTTTGATTTTAGCGCACTATTGGTTGCGCACTCCAATTGAAAGGGAGAACGTCTTTGACGTGACTTAAATGATCCTATAATATATATATTCAAAATAGCAGAACTTATCTACAAATTTACAAACCGGAAGTTGACCAACGTGAATCCTAATAGGATATATCTCTTCTTTCGTTTATTATTATAAAATAAATCATCAAATTAACCTTCATCATCAAGAACTTAGTATTCACTATACATTTCTTGTCTTCATTATCCAAGAAACGACGTCTTTGTTAAATCGGGGACCTATCATTTAGTCAAAACAAAAGTCTTGACTGTTATGATTCTCAAATTCTTCATAAATTATTCCATCACGATTCCTCAAATAAATCATATAATAAAGTTGAAAGCCAACGATTTTATGATCAGAGAATGCTCGGCAAAAGTATAATAATAAATTTCACATGCAGTATTAGGGTAGAGGTTGCGAATAAGTTACATTTGATGAATTTGAAGAGGCATTCCAATGGGTTGCAAACGACTTTGTATTTCAAGTAGTTCTTTTCATTCATTATAACGTCTTAATCAACCTTGTTGCTAAAGAGCCATTTCAGGAGTGCCCTGTGACCACTATATCATTGAGTTGATTTTGCAGTGTTGATGATGCTTATGATGATTGTTTTTTTGCTTTCCATAATGACCAATCAATTCTTGACGAATATTATTGTGTTTACATAAGCAAATATGCGAACAATCACTTCGTATTATCATTGAATTTATCACATGTTTATCGGACGTGAATGGACCGTAAAGTATTGATTAGACCTTTATGTGTAAAAAAATTTTGTATTTATCATTATTTGATTATTTAAAAACAATGTACACGCACACCATTTGTTGTTTTCTCTTTGCCTTTGACTTTAAGGCAATTTTAGCACATTTAAAACTATTAAATAACCATATGAAAAGACTATTAGAACCTCCTATATGCTTACCTAATACATCATTTTAATTCATTGTTTTTGGTGCAGGTCAATGAAACATGTAACGTTGTTCAAACGTTAGTTCCTAAACATGATTTTGGATCTACCTCTGGGGAATCTAGTTTATGCGCCACCCGATTCCTTTACATATCAACCAAGAATTGATTTTATCTAAGTTGTCTGTTAAATATATGGTTGTGTAATTGAATAAATGATTTTCTAGAAAATTACCAAATGGTATATAATTATTTTAATTTTGCGGACGTCGCTTGATAAGGTAATTATTTGTTTTTTGTAGAAAATTAAACCCGAAGATGTGGCTGATTACACGAGATGAGGAAAAAAAAAAAATAAAATAAAATAAAGTAATCTAATACGCCCAAGACTATTCCTATTGTATTCTGTATTGTAAATCACTCATGATTAATTAATTATTTAATTGGAATTGTTTGTTAAAAAATGTATAACAAGTAAAAAATTTTTTTACGTGTCGTGACCGAAAAACCTCCACTCGGTAAAACATTTTCCAATTGAGACGATTAAAGTAAAAATTTACCTAAACGTTTGATATTATTTCGATCATCAGATTGTCAAGAAAAATGACGAGATGATGAGGTATTCAAAATCGAATAAAAATAATAATAAAAATCAAAAAGTTACAGCACCCAGTATTCCCACGTTGTCCCCAACCGTAGTACTGACTGGGCCATCAGTGGCTTAACTTCGGAGATCGGACGGGTTCCGGTGCTTTTCACTGTGTATGGCCGTAACTGAATGAAAATTCAATTTTTGCTTATTTGAAGTATATTACAATCCATTTAATTTGTTGAAATAATTTATTACTTTCTATTTTGGCGATCGTTATGATTTTTTTTTTTAGCGCTAAAATTTAAAGTTTGCGAACATCAATTGAAAAAAAAAGTCTTGGCATTCCCGCTTATGTAACACAAATGTGTTCTTTTTTGGGTCTACAAATTATTTTATTTTTCCACGAATTAAGGTTTGCTCATTCTAAATCCATTTGCCCAAATTAGATAATAAACTTCTTTTTTAGATAGAGTAAGAGAAAAAATAAAGATTTTGTCTTCATCCAATCATCCAATCATTGAATTAATGATGATGAGATATGACCTTTATGGTATGGAATTGTCTTTGTACAACCACGCGATTTTCCGCGTCATTTTCATTATACATTTTGTTTGACAAAAAAAACGCTACATTTCAATAGTTAAATGATGATATTTTATTTTATTTATTTTTTTTTATATAATATATTTTAAAATAATATATTGATACAGCAACAATAAAAAATTCGAGTTAATAATGATAAGACATAATGATAATAAAAAAAAATTAAAGATTGCTTAATTAAAGGTAAAACGAAAATTCTTAATTCAAAATTCTTATAATAATCGAAACTTATTTTGGATCTTAGAAACACATATATCTATGTGTGCATAAAATAAATACACACACATATATAATCTTAATGTAAATTAATCAAATAAAAATAAAATCTTAAAAAATAAAGAAATAATAAAATAATAGAATAATGGAATAATAAAATAAAATAAAAAATCATTAAAATAAAGTTCCAGTTATTTGACCATTTACGTTCAAGTTATTCACATCGTTATTAATGAACGGAATGTTGTTATAAAACATCTGATAGTGCCAAGCGTACATGGATTGCTTATAAGACACAATGGGATGTAATATGGAAAAGGTAGACGTTACATTTGGACGTTCAAAGATCTCTTCAGTTGAGGTTGATGATGATTCCCCATCTGAATATGCAAGCACTTCAGAAACGAGACTTTGAGTCCAAATTAAATCACGACCATTGGTTGCAAATAAATAACTATCGACGTCAGCCATAGTGAATGCGAAAGAGGGTGATAAAAGTTGGCATTCCTCGATAGTATTTTGGTTAGGACAAATTGTTGTTGAGTGGGAAATGTCCAAAGGTTGGATGAAGTGATTTTTAGGTACTGTTGGAAGAGGTTGAGATGGTTTCGGTGCATTTGTATTGTTTGATTGTTTCTTTCGTGAAGATTTTGACGTAGAATTCACCCTTGCCTTTGGAGTTCGTGAGTTGGAATTGTTTATTCGCCATTTACGTCGTGAAAAAGACAGAGATTTTTGACGGGTTGTCGTTAACATGGTTTTAGCTTCTCCAGCAATCCGCCAGTATTCATTTTTGACATGTTCGGGTTCACGCTTCCAAGATGCGGATGCCATGGAGGACACATCCGTCATTTTAAAAGCGTAATTTTGTGCCTGTAATTCTTTAACAAAGACCCTACGATAGATCAAGAACGCGTTGGGCGCTCTGGATGGTACCTCTCCATCTTTTTTCTGGCCCACTAAATCCTCTGGATTAATCGGAGGGGGGAATGGTATTATGATCGAAGGGATTGGAACCGTTTCATGTGCGGTTGTATTTGCGGATTCATATACAAATACAGTTTCTCGTTGGGCATTTATATTTTCAATGAATGAAGACATATTTGTTCTAGTCGTAGGTGTTAAAGTCATAAGG